TTTTGGAAGAAAACATTTTTTGCTGAAGTAACATAGTTTGATAGAACTCCCAACTTGAATTTTCAAGTTAAGCAAATAAAGAAGGTAAACTAAAAAAATCAATTTAGTCTACATTAGTAAACCTATGGTTAAGCAAATAAAGAAGGTAAACTAAACTCGATTTAGTCTACATTAGTAAACCTACTGTATATACAACATAATGTTTTAGCCAAGGTAAACTGAATGTAAATAAAGCAACACTCGTCACTAAAACACTAAAATTAGTCAAGAGATGACTGAAACGTAGACAATGTGTAACATTAACAAAACTAAAGCTAATGTATATAGATAAACACATGCTAAAATAACATCCAAATTGAAGCTAACTTAATAATAAAGGAAGTAGCTAAATGCAATTTCCTACATGGTTTATTTAATTACGTAATTTAACTGTCAAGCGTTATCTCTTTCGAAAATGCAAAACAAAAATCAAAGTATCTAAATTTAGCTAATACATTTCGAACACCGGCTTCACACTTTACATCATCAGTTACTCTAACTGACTCATAACGGAGCTTAACTCCACTCACAGTAGGTCATCTTTTAACCACAGGGTGGGGGAGTTATCTGGCTGCATGAGTCTACATGCAGATGTGTCTCTGCAAGAGACCTAACCCTGAGTTCCTTTTCCAGCAGGGTGTGAATGGGTTTGAAAGACGAGTGATAGAATTGCTGTATGAATGCTGGGTAAACGGATGAAAATGGGTGAATAGCAGAAATGAAGTGCAAAAGCACTCTAAGTGATCATCAATACAGAGCATTTATCCAGTCAAATATGGTGCACTGCTGTGTCTTCCTCCAGGCAGGATATCTCAACTCAATTACAGATTTGAGTTCTGGATGTTGAAAATCTGGGCCGAGGGACAAGGATGAAGTGATTAGTGCAGCTGGGGCCTGCCTTTAGCTGCTTAGGAAGCACATCACACTTTAGCACCCAACTGTTCAACTATGTTATTTAGGCCCTGCCTAAATAAAAGTGTTAAAAGTCCCACCTTTAATGTGTCAGATTGTGTGCATCAGTTGAAGCGTATTTTCTAGATTTGAAATTAATCATATCCAAACTTTGGGATCAGATTTAATCAGACTTCTCCACAGAATTCCAAGATATTAATATTAGTAGTATACAGAGTTATTGTGCATAAAGCAAATGGAGTCCACAAGTTAGTAGTAGGTATTGGAAAAATGCTTTGCTTTTAGTTCACTCCACTGGAATAAAAATGATGTGCAGACAATATAATTATACAAATTACAATGTTTTATGATGTCAGCAACAGCAAAACACTCAGGCTATGATTACATTAATTAATGTAGTCTTTCTTTCATCTCCTAACACTTAATCATTTTTAGGCTCACAGGGAGAGCACAGCCAATGCCAGCAGACAAGGTACTGAACAGTTCACCAGTCCCTCAGAGAGTCAAATATAGAGACAAGCATCCATTCACACTCACGTTCACACCTAAGGTCGTGCCCTAAGGTCATGAAGAGTAAACAATTAATCAACACTGCATGGAGAAAACGATCACACACGTGCAAACCACATACTGAAAAATGGTCAGTGACCTCTCGGGACTGGACCAATGTTTTCTTTGCTGTTAGGTTAGAGCACTCTCCTACAAAACAAAAAGGCTGCTGGGATACATGCATTTATTCACATAACTCGTCTTTCTTTTTTTCTTTTTTTTCATATTTCTATTTACTTGGAATTTGTCATTGGTACAACTCTTTGGAGTTGTGTCTCTTACACCTCTGATTTTTCTGTCCTGTTAGATGGTGCTGCTGCCTGTATATATATAGATTTTTTTTTTCTATAGATTTTTTTTCTGAAATCAAGCCAAGATCCATCTTTTTAAGTCATCCCAGTGCCTTTGCTTGGCACGTACCAGGGCAGGGACTCCATTTTAATCCAATCCAGCTTTATTTGTATAGCACATTTAAAAAACATAGTTGACCCAATGTGCTTAATACTGCAAATATAGATAAGTAAAACACACAAAGTACAATACAGACAAAAGCTATAAAACACAGGAAACACGAGTAAAACTATGAGACAACAGAAACAGAAACAAAACACAACACTACACACAAATTCCTCAGGCAGATTCTGCAAACACCAAAGAAAAGGGTTTTAAAAACAGCTAAAACACCTGGAGGGGCAACTCGTTCACGAGTTTGATGGCAACTACTGAGAAAGCCAAGTCTCCCCTGAGTTTCAACCAAGCTGCAGGAGCATCCAGAAAAGGGTGATCAGTTGACCTGCCGTGATCGTCCTGGAGTCTGAGGCTGTAGAAGCTCAGAGAGATTTGAAGGAGGCAACCTATATAGAGCTTTACAAGGAAATAATAAAATCTAAAAGTAATCTTAATATGACAGGGAGCCAGTGAAAGGAGGCGTGGGTTACACCAGCAATTATATAGTCTAAGTCGTATTCATTGGATATGACAGGGAGCCAGTGAAAGGAGGCATGGGTTTCAACAACAATTATATAGTCTAAGTCATATTCTTTTTAAAGGTTTCCAGTTGTTCATTTGAGCAATATTGACTTTACAGCATTATAAGTAAACTATAGAATTCCTTTAGGTCCAGTGTTTGGTCAGGTACTATTTACTTTGGTTCTAGGATAATATTAGAAGGTAAATTATTAACTCTCATTATTATACAGATGATACCCAACTATGTTTATCCATTTATCTAGATGAAACAATCTGTTTTAACTCTAAGAATAAATGACTCACTGACCCACAATCCCATGCTTTTATATAAACATTAAAGAGACACATTTTTGAACTATATTGACACCACCCTGGATTCTTGTTGGAACAGGAAGGAACCTCTGTGTATTTTTGATCAGTACTCTTTCTTGAGGTCCATATTAGGCAAATTTCAGGATCAGCCATGAACTAGTGACCGTGTCTGAATAATAATTAAAAACGTTTTGATGCTTCTCCACTAATCACGGTGTAATTTTAATTTACTATAATCCCTAATGAATACCCTCTTGAACATGTGCTCCTGTTGTGAACATTTTTGTTCTCACTGGTGTGCAACCAGGTGTGTAATAGTTTACATTTCAATAAACCATAACGACAACAATCTTAAAACTAATGACACAAATGGGTGTCTGCAGTAAAATATATTCTCATTTCACCACAGCAACCTCGGTGGAACCATATGTGAGAAATGAATGTGGACATCTGGTGGTAAATGACAAATCCACATAAAATACATGAAACATGAAATAACAGGGTGTCACATGGGAGTGATGTCACAGTTTGTAAAAAGAACTCCGGCTGAGTATAACTTCCTAGACTGCAGAAAAAAACATATTTCACACAGAACTGGTCAAACTGTGTCTCAGCCCAGCAAGTGGCCCACTCCAATTTGTCTGCACCGACAAACAAGTAATAAAAAAACAATTGCAGTAAAAACAAAAATCGATCTATATCTACTATAACAGGTTCCCAACATATTTGGTAACTTAAGCTAAAAACATTGTAAAAAAAATTATATTTTGCAAGTTAGCCAACAACAATTGATAACTAGAAGAGGGAGAGATGGAAATCAATGATTTGCTGTGGCAACCCCTGAAAAAGGGACGAAGCCGAAAGAAAAAGAAGATGAATTGATAACTAGAATCTAAATGGACTGGGATATTGATCACTATATATGTTAAATATTCAAATGTATTGTATCTTTTGTTTGTTTCAATATAAATATAGATTAACCATCAACTGAATTTAGCCCCTGCTTTGCATTGTTCTAAATTTTGCCATATTATTTTTCTACTTACAAAACAACAGAAGAGTGCTGTTAGTGTAAGGTGTCTGATAAAAAAAAGTGTATTTCATCTGTCAAATTCCAGGGAATTGCATCTGTCTACAACATTTTGTTTTATATTCCCTTCTTTTCAAGAACTTTGGCCTCATCAATTTAGAAACACACAGGGGGAATTCTGCCAGCTTTTATCCTACAGCTGAGCCCCTCTGCTTCAAACTACGCTGAGCGAATAAGGTTTGGGATATACATAACAAGGAAAATGAAACCATTGTAAGGTAGTTTTTAATAATAATAAAAAAGATTAAAAAAAGAAAAAAAAAGCTCTCATCACTTAAAGGTTGACTCTTGGCCGATGATGATTACAACAGTCTCTGCCTCTGCTGTTTTCTGTGATGGATTTTCAGTAAATGAGCGGAAAATCATGGGCTTCAAGGATGTGTTTAGGTATACTGGACCATTAGAAACTCACACACACATATATATATATGGCAAGTGGGAATTACCATACAGAATATAAGAAAGAACCACCATTTGTTTTGGTGTGATTAATTTATTGCCAATACGACTACTTTCATGGTCGGTCATTACTCTTATAAATGTGACTGTAATTGTAAACCACACTGGAACATGGAATCCCAGTTTCCTTCATCAAAGCACTGTTATAAACCAAGCTAAACACAGCAAACATAACAAAACACTGTAATGTTTTCTGTAATCCATGACAACACATTACAATTCAGCTACCAAGGGTGCAAGGTTACAGTCTGACACTGTTTGAACAGAAGGGGTTATGGTGTTTCCCACTTAATACCAAAGTCTCAAATACTGATCATCTGGTCTGAGGAGTCACTTCATAAATAGTCATTCTAAGACACTGGACAATTAAGTCTCTGCAGATGGTTTTAAAGTACAAGCTATTACTAGCTGATCATTTTCAAATTCTCAGATGTAGCTTAAACTTAAGAAAATTGTTCAAATTAAATGCATTTTTATATAATTTTCAAATGCATTGGTATCAGTGATTGAAATTCTGAAGTAAAGAAATTGGATTTGGAGATTATCTGTTTATATATATATATGTGTGTGTGTATATATATATATATATATATATATACATACATATATATATACATACATATATATATATACATACATATATATATATATATATAAAGACACTAGTATGAATCTAAATGTTTTAAATGGTTTATTCCATTAGCATCATTAGATTCATTGTTTCGTTCGAATCTAAAGCGACTGAGAATTTTCACGTGAGCCAAAAAGGTTGTGGATCTGACAATAGCACACACCCAACAGAGAAGAGAGAAGTGAAAAAAAGAGCGTGCGTGTGTGGTACTCTTTGTGGATGCCTGTCTGTGTGGCATGAGATACAGTAGAGCATCCTGATTGGCAGGTTTTCAGTGTGGCAGGGCATTTATCAGATTCTTATTTTATCACAGTTGTTCCCATTGTTTACGGTGGTGATTTAAATATTACTCCATGTTGGTTAAATGGTTGTAAAGGTCATGTTGAATGTGTGGATGTATTCAGATCTAAATATATTAAATATTTACCTACAGAATACCTTGGGTTTTGATATTGTAATGACACTTCTTAATTAAAAAAAATATACATTTTTGTTATTGTCCATTAAGAGAGTGAAGTAATAACATGTCAACAAACCTAGTGCTAGATTTTTTTTTGTCAAAACACCTGATCTGTTCTTTAAATTTAAGCATGACTTTGAAATATTTCCTTTATTTTTTTTATTTATAGACATGCCAACTTATACATTAAGATAAACCTCTCTTTAAACAATAACCTCAGACTCCCTATGGGACCCCAAGCCACATCTTGGCAACGCAAAAATAATAATAATAACAATAATCATAATAATCTACAATTCCATCACTTGATGTTTTTTTTAATGTTGTAAGTTATCAATTGAACACAGTTGATATACAGTGTTCTCCAGATCCGTGTTGAGGAGTAAAGTGAACAGGTGGGGTGGGTGATAATAAAAAAGAAGGATCTACTGTGTCAGAGACACCCAGCAGCGGATCACCTCCCGTTGAGTAGTTGTATTGCAATAGAGCCCAGAGGAGCCGAGGCGCATGCAGACCATCAGACTGTGCTTTTTCAGCCGGGGACTAGTTTTCAGCCCTTCACTCGGGTCTGGGTAAACAGCACCGCCCCGATGGTTGTTTGTTTGAAGTGTGGAACGATCCATCGCGCTGCGCCGGGCTCGATTGACACTGTCTGCTGATCTGCTGCTGCGGATTGCTCCGAATAACAAGGCTGCTCGCTAATTCCCGTCTACCGCCGAAGCACCGAGAAGAGTAGGGTCGGCAAGAGAAAAAAAAGCCAACAAGGCAGGCAAGACCGCCGAGCCGCCGGAGTCCGCACCCCAGAATGGCTTCGGGAGACCTTTACGAGGTAGGATAAAAGCGTGTCCGAGGAAAATGCTCTGTAATATTGACGAATAATGGAATTAGGAAGTAAAGGGGAGGGCGTCGCGCATGTAAAACGCGGTGTCCTGAGCCCTTTAACACGCAAAACTAACCCTGGTCGAGCTTTGCCGAGGCAACGTGGACTGACACACTTTGTGTCGCCCCCGGTGCGTACTTTGACATCAGTGTTTGACGGCTGCGGCTGACAGATAAGAAGTCGTTTACGGGCTGAACTCCTCACTGTGTCGCCGAGTTGGAAGTGAGTGGTGTGTGGTTAAGTGACAGCAGCGCAGAGCGGACGGACATGGTGAAGCAGCTCAGAGTGGGGACGACGACGACGACGACGATGAAGATGATGATGATGAGGAGGAGGATGTCAAAAGAAATGTACATCAACAGTCTTCATCAGTGTTGATGTCTCCGCGGAGACATCAACACTGATGTCCGCTCAGCCACACGGAGAACTCTTTTACCGCTCCTAGAGTCCGTTAGTAAATTATTCAGACTCCAGAGAGATGGGCGTAAAAGTTGCCCCGAACGGGTAACGGGAAGGTCACGTCCCCCTCGTCCTCACCTTCATCATCATCATCATCATCATTACGGCCGTAATCGTTTTTTATCAATATCATGTTTTAGAAACTAAAGACAGAACAGAGGAGGATCTAAACAAATGTATGCGGTAGTAACGTATCTACTGGTTTGAGAAATAGGAGACAGACTGTCTCAGGAATGTGTCACACACGTGTACAGGTGAGTCAAAAAGTTCAGAGACAATTAAAAAAAAACCCACAAATTTATTTTGCAATGTATCTTCCATTAAAGTTTTAGAAGAATTCTATATATTCTGGTGGATGTCTTTGTCCCCTGGTCAAAACCTGCTTGTTTGTCTGGACACAGACTGGATGTGGACAACTGGATTATTTTAAATGTCAACAGGCTGATGAGTAATAGAGACACTTTTTATAATCAAGGACATTCAGTTTCTTTTAACTGCTCTTTTTGTTTTTTTAAAAAGGAAAACAAACACACCAACAGATGAAGCTAGATTAAAACCTGCTGCAAAGCTTGAATCATTTTGGCAGGTTTTTCATTCAAGTTAGGGTTAAAATTTTACATAAACACTGGTTAATGTTTGGAGGTTTAAAAAAAAAAGGTCTGATAAAAGAAAATGTAACACAGCTCGAAAAAGATATAATCTGTTAAAGCAGGGGTGGCCAACTAGTCAAGAGGCTAAGAGCCACAATTTTTACCATGTTACTGCAAAGAGCCACATGATATACATGGACACACATGAACTGCCCCATCCCTTTATGAAAATAATTTGTCCTAAGTAACTCGGCATGAGATTCACATAGCGTAAAAAAAAAAGTAAGAGCTGCATGAAACCAGGCAAACCGCATGTGGCTCCCGAACCACAGGTTGGCCATGCCTGTGTTAAAGACACCGTGTAACATGGTTAACAGTTATTAAAGAGAAGAGGCTAGTGATACAAGGAAAACACAAGGAGATGTGTTGCAATATAGATAAATATTTTGATAAGCCTCTAGATTTTGTGGTCACCTCAGTGTCAAGATACTGTTTCTTGCGGCAGCTGTTGTCCTGTGCCTCGCCTGTGAGCCGTGTGTCAGAAGAAGCCGGATCTCGGTTCCTGCATCACCTGCGTACAATGTGACATTTTTGTCTCGTTAGCCGTGATTGTAACAGAGAGTGATTTGAAGGGCATCGTTATCTAATGACTTTAAGGATAATTCAATTAACGATGTCAGACACAACGAGGCTGTTTACGCCTCAGTAAAACAACAGCTTTAAATGTTAAAGGAAAACGTGGCGTTTGTTTATGGCTGTTTTAAGTTGGTAACGTTATCAGCTCTCCGGCTGACGACCATCTCGGGATGAGTTGAGTACATAACAGTTAGGAGTTTAGAGCTACAGCAACTGCCAACATAAATGATCATTTGTGTGATGTATTTTAATTTAACGTCACTTCTCAGTTGGCCTCGAGTGTAAAGATATTTGGGTTGTTGCCCTTGTATTTGTAGTGATGTTATACCTTCACATAATAATTCATCAAATTACTTTGCCTTGCCACAACCCCCCGAATTTGAGAACAACTGCTTTGAGGGAAGCTGTAAAACATATCATGGACACTGCACTTCTGCCTTCTGAAGTTTTGATTAATTCATGGAATTGTTGGCTTGTTTACATTCACTCTGCGTTTTTTTTTTTTTTCCATTTCTTTTCATCTACACATACTGTTTACACACATCCCATATCATCCCTGTAAATCCCAGTGTGAAGTAAATACACTGTTGAGTTATTTTTACTTTGTACCCATTATACATTTGGTCTAAATGACTGAGTCTTAAGGGTCAGGGGTCAAGGTGGCAATAAAAAAAAATTCAGCCTCTTAATCATGATTTTTTTTTTAATGAGCAAACTGAAAATATATATGGGAGAGTACAACCGCTGGATAGTAATGCTTAGCTTTTTGAATAAAACATTTTCAGTTGGATATTTACTTATTGATGCATTGAATTCTTGATATGCAGCAGAAAATCCTCACCGTAACATTTCCTCTACATGTGGAAAAAACCCATCATCTTCCAGCTGGTCATTTGAAATCATGTGCATAAGAAATTTCTGCATGTCATCAATATCGTTGTTTACGTATGTTTTGTGTGTTTTTATATAAGACATCTGTGACTCCTTCCTTTGGTGAATAGGTTTTGGGAGATTGTTTCGTTTTTCAGGTTTAAAAAAAAAGGAAAAATTTGAAGGATTTTCCATGTACAAACAAAAATTGTATTGTAATTATATTGCTATTTTTAGTCCCAACAACCATCTAAAATCCCAGAACTGTGAGTCATATTCAACAAAATGCATTTTCACTCATGCTGCAATTTTCAAACTTTCACATTCACACACTGAGTCTAAAAATCGGAAAAATGAACCAGACTGATTCACTGTCACTCAACTGTCGGTCTGTGCGCACAGTCCATTCTGTGTTCCTTCTGTTCCTATTATTTTAGCTGTCAGTTTCATTCTAATAACAGAATATCTATTTAAACGTTTGGCAGAATGATTTAATATGTGACATCAAAGCAACTTTGGGTTTTATTATAAACTTTACTTTGACTGCGTTGGACTGGTCTGGGGGAAAAAAAGTCTTAAAGTTCAATTATGATACATTTTATGGTTGTTATTCTGGCCTATTATTAACACAAAACAGTGATGGTAGGTTGATGTGGGGGGGGGGTGCATGGGCTTAGAGGAAGAAGCCTAGTTTTGTTGTAGATGCTCATGCAAGGATATCTCACGTTTAAATCACATTCAGAAGAATACTTTTGAGTCATTATTCAAGAAAATTAGCATTTTGATTCAAGATTATTACCTGTTAATATACAATTAAAAAAAATTCAAGATTATTACCTGTTAATATACATTTAAAAAAAAATTAGCACTGCAGAAATGGTGGTTTTGTAGCCGTGTGGAAAAATGTGAAATTTTACCAAAAGCTAATTTTACCATAAAATACCAAGAGAGAGTTAAAACCTTGACTTTTAGTCACAAAAACTCTTCTCTATTTCCTAGTCGTCAAAACAACCAAGGTTGTTATCGAACGTTTTACAGTTCAAATCCCAGCCTCAAAGATCTGCTGTGTGTTAAGCAAGCACTGAAGCTCCCAACTAGCCCGATCAAGTCAGAGGTAGACGTCGCACCTGTTTAATGGAGAAATTGGGGGGAAGGGATGGTTTTGCTTTGTGTACCATTTGTTCTTCATCTTCCTATTCGTCCTCTTCCCCTTCCTTCTATTTTTGTAACTTTTGTATATACATAGGATGTACTCAACAAAAGGGTGTGTCAAACATTCAAGGACAGACGGGTGCATTGGGGGGGGGTTGTCTAAAGTGACTTCAACTTTAAAGACTAACAGCTTTGAACGCTGCGTTTTAGTTGGAAGAGAAACCACTGTTACTAAGTTGCTTCTCTCTTGCTCACTAAGTAAACAGCTCGTTCTAAACAGGTCTGTGCTCAGCAGATAGTTCTGTACCAGTAGGAAGTTACATTTAAAGTAAATTGGCCTTAATTTCATAAAAATAAAACTAATATCCGTTCGCTGTTGTGTCTGTAATCCGTCCTGAAAGTGGTGACAGTTGTCTGGCTCACATCTGTTTGGTAAAAAAAAAATAAAAAAATCCCTCTCCAACTGTACTGTGTGTTGGAGGATTCGGAGGAGTAGTTTTGGCAGCTGAGGGAAGATGTGCCCTCCTCCACTCTTTCTCCTGCTCAGGCTGCAACTCTAAACATTTCTGAATCATTGATCTGTACCTCTCTGTTGACGTGTCGGTGTTCCTGTATGTTGTCGTTTGGTGTAGCTACGGTTCAATTCTTCTCCGTGTTTTGCTTTGTACCCATTACTAACATGTCATCCATCTCGTACACTGAATGTGCCCACACATCTGAGAGCTTCAGGAGCAGTTACTCCCATGGCTGCTGTTGAAACTCCTTTCCTCAGTGGGTGTTATCTGTCGCCTACAGTTTCTCTTCAAACGGTGCCTGAGGTTCGTAGATAAGTGCGGTCTTGATGCAAAATTCCCTAGAAATTTATCAAAATTGCCCTTGGAACTCACCGATGGAGCTAATAGTGTATTTTCAACTTCTTCTGTATTAATAATTGTCTTAAATAAAACTGTTCTCTGCATTTAACTGACCAGTGAACGCTACAGTGATACACACACAGCGCGAGTGTTGCGCGGCACTGTTTGTTTGTTTTTTTAGTGCTTGCTCAACACACCGCAGGATTTAAACCGACAATCCTTTAAAACCCACTCCTTAAACTAAAAGGCCAAAGATTGCAGAAGTCGCTTTTATGTGAGGATGGGATTTAAACCCATGCCTGCAGAGCAGATGACATGACCGTCCATTGCATTGACTACTCAGCTGTTTTGCATATTATTATTGGCTTTGACAGGTACTGAGCAGATAGGCTTCTACAGAACATACCTCTGGCTCTTCTTCCTGCTCTTGCATTACCAATGTTTTTGGATGACTGCAACAGTTGATTTTATATTGATTTTGTTATCGTTATCAAGTCACTTCTTCTTTTCTCTTCCTCTTTTCCTTCCAACCTTCTTTCACTTTTTCTTCTTCTAGCTTGTCTAGCTTGTCTCGCCGTCTCTTGGCTTCTTTCACTTTTTCTTCTTCTAGCTTGTCCCTTCTCGCCGTCTCTTGGCTTCTTTCACTTTATTTAACTGTTTTATTTCACCGCTTGTTATACCTCTTTCTTATACTCTCCCTTTTTTATTACTTCTATTCTTCTCCCTAATCCTCTAACACCTTTTTTCCATCTTTTAATTCTTTCCCCCCACAACTTTTCTTTCTCTTTTTTCTCTTCAATTTTCACGTCTACTTCTACCTCCTCCAAATATCACCCAGCAGATAAATTGCCCTCTTCTCATTCTACTCCTTTGGTCTTCTACTGTTGTACCAACCCTGGCCATGCTCTCTAACAGCATAATTGTCAATTGCTCCCTGCTGATCAACAGCACCCGGAGGCAGTCACTGTTAATTTGGGCTTCAATTAGTTTGCTATGGCATTTCCTGATTTCTCCTTCTATAGAAGATGAGATCAATTTTCTACGTAACTACCGTGGGTGGACAGATAGAGAACAGAAGAAATAGAAGATGTAGAACAAAGAGGGAGGGTAATTAGGAGGTCATGCTGTTTGATTGACAACAAATGTATCCAGCTGCTTGACTGTGTCAATAATTACACATTCAAGGTTCGTACATTTTTCTCTTCCCGATTTAGTTCTTGGATCATTTGGAATTTGCTCAAGGAAGAACTAGGCCAATTTTACATGGACTTGTATAGAAAATAAACATTTCTTTTGCAAATTCTACGCATAGCACCATGCTCAACATTTATGCTCATCTTATAAATTTAATCCAACATTTCTATGTCCCTCACAGTTTGTTTTGGCAGCTGTTTCGCTTTGCTTACGTTCCTCATCTCATTTTTGTGTTTGCATTTCTCTTGTGTCATAAAATACTATTTAGGAGCAAGGAGCAAGGTGTGTCATAAAATACTATTTAGGAGCAACAGGACCAGAACAGTTTAGAAAAAAAAACCATGTGCACACTGGTGACGTCTTCTGTACAGCCCCTTTGATCCTCCTGAAAATGTTTTTTTGTGAACCAAGATCTGACATAACCGAGAGAGATGACAGGAGGAGACAAGTAAAAAAAAA